TTATGCAAAAAGCATTACTTATAGCCACAATACCGTTTTTCGCTTTTATAAATGCAGAGGGTAAATAAAATAATTGCAGATTGAATGAGCTCCTTTTTTTGTGGTGGTGGGGAATAAATTGCGGTCCAGACTTTTTTCGGGAGACAGTGCTCACCTACCTTCCCCTCCACGCAACGTCAACACCCCAACCAATGTCATCCTAGGCAGGCGATCGGTAGATGAAATGCGGGCATTTCGGAGCCTGGGAAGATGGGTACGTGCCTCTCCTACCTACCTTAGATGTCTGTCCTTGGACAGAGCAGTGGGCTAGCCTGGCCTCACGTTACTTGATAAAACCTGCGCAAAGAAGAAATGGAAAGGAAAAGTGGAAGAAATGGTGGGGACAATGAATATGTGGTGACTGAAACAAACAATGCGCACCCATGCGGTGGCCGTTACCCGGGAGCACAACCGTTCATTTTTGTGCCCCCGAAATTCACTCAGAGCCTGCTGCCGTAGCGTAGCTGCTCGGGCTGCCATCTACACTTTCCCCACCTGCCCGGACGTTCATTCAGCATCTCCGTTTGAGCGCCAGCCGGAGGCTTCCGCCCATCCACTGAGGTAGACAAGTAAACAAGGCAGGTACTCCCAGGCAGGGAACCATTATCTTGGTAGGTATCCCGGCGGTGAGGGGCGGAAGGGCGGTACTAGGGGCACCCCATCCCATTCATAGAAACCGGCGAACCTCCATGCCGTATCTGCCACTCGACCCGCCGCCACCCATGCTCAACGTCAGTGCGACACTCATCACGCAGCCCTTAACAACCACCTATAAACAAATAACTTGGGGGTAAATATGTACCCGGTGATTTTCGCTCTGGGATCGGAGCCACAACAGCGTCGACGTGCTTGCTGTGTGTGAAGGACACTAAACGGCAACAACACAATGTATCCGCCCCAGTAGGTATTGCTGGTGTTTGGAAATTCACCTGGCTACCCTGTGTGGTAGGTACTTCCTTGGGAGAACTAACCTTTGGGGCTGGCGGTTCTTACCACGGTATGCAGGTGTCGTGGTATCCTGGACATTAATGGCGCGCATTGGATTTCGATTCCCCATCTGCGTTAAGGCGAGAAGCAGCCACCAGACTTTGGCGTGCACAGGCATACCTAAGCAAGCAGGCGACTGACTGGATCAGCCGCCCAAGCGGGGCGGGAGCAAAACCTTGGGCGCGATTCCGCAGCAACCAAGTCCTCTTAGTGCACAAGACAGACTCGGGCAGGCTGGACATGTCGATTGTTCTCAGACGGCACTGCTTTCCTGTTGGCTGGAAACAGTGGCCCGGAGAATCCCATGTCGCAATTCGTTGGTGATGTTCAGAGAAAAGCAAAGCGTTCGCGAAATCTCGGCGTCTTGGCGACGCAGTGTCCATTATATCGCCCGCCAGATTTGAATGGCGAGCGGGCGAGAGGTCGTCGGGCAGGCCGGGGTGCATATCAGCCCGTCGACATGCCACCGGATTCCTCCGTCCTGTAGCTGGGAGCTGGGTTGGGAGGGGAAATGCGGCGAAGAAATGGGGAAATGGGATCGAAAAGCGCAACAAGGCCAAAGGATGCTCGAATATGGAGGATCAGCAACTCTCAATAGGGTCCTTGAGTCCGCGAGTGTAGCACCCACACATAGATTTCTGGGGTATGAGAATGGATGAGTCGTGGAGGGGGGGCGGAAGGCAAGGTGACGTGGTAAAGCCAGGCATGGGAGGCTTGACAAGACGATGAACGAGGCAAGAGCCCCGGAAAAGGATAAGGTGGCCCAGCAGAGATGGAACAGGAAACGGGCCCAATCGCAGCATTAATGTGCGAGCGGCATTCGTGGCTGGGGGATCTCGAGCCGGGCACAGCGGGGAGTATTTCTTTCTCTCTCGCTCGCTCCCTTGCCCCCTCTCTCCCTAGGCGTCGTCTCCTCTGCCGTCAGGGCCCTGACGATCAGGTTCCGATCAGGTTCCTTGCACACCAGGAGCTGGGGCCGCAACCCATCTATCGGGGGATTTGATGGGCGGATGGGCGGACGGATGGATGATGCGAGAGTGCGCATCCCGGGAAACATCGCGTGCCTACTCTGGCTGCCTTCCTCCCTCTGGGCCCCTTCCCAACGCCCTTTTGCTTGTCCGCGTCAGTTCCAGGTTGTGGATTGGCCTGAGGTCCGGTCTGGTCTGTGAGAATCAGGGGATTGGACGGAATGGGACCCAGTCTGGCAAAGTACCTCTGGGGTAGCCAAGAAAGCTGCAGGGTCTGGTCTTGGGCGGTGGCTTTGCTGGCGTGCAGGGGGGCCTGTCGGCGGATGCACACCTGCACGGTACAAACGAGTACAAGCAGCCCTCGTCCAAATCTCAACGACGGGCTGGGGAAGTACCCAGGTACCGCTGGGATGGCCGAATCAGAGAGACGGGCGCCCAGCGCCTTGCGGCCAGGCCCTTGTCCCCCCCAGCGCAGGCCGTAGTGCCTGGGGGCGTTTGGGTGGTGCCCGCCGAATGCCACCCAGATGCCACCACCCTGACCCATCATATCCGCCTTGGGACATCGTTCATCTTCTTATTCCACCCTACCCTCTTCCTCTCTCCGTTCTCTCCTCCACATAATTCCCAGCAACGCCGGCCTCGAACGCATCCCCCGTCGTTGTTTTTTTTTCTCCGGCTCGAAGCACCGCAGTCGGTTTCCTTCATCGGCTTCCTTTCCTGCCCCAGGCTATGGGTCCCATCTGAACCTTGGCCAGCCGCCCTCATTTTCCATTTTTCTTTGGAATTTCCCGAACCCAGGGTAGCCCGTTGTTCCCGGACCCTCTCCTCTGTTCCCACACACTGAGCATCGCAGATATCTATCCTTCCTCCTTCGTCTCCGCGACAGGACCCGCCGCCTTTGTTTCATCAATCCCTCCTGTGTCTTCAAGCGCTGGATTATAGGAGCAACAGAGGCACTTCCTACCCGCCCACCTGCCCTTCTGCCTTGCCTATCTGCTTGCCTGGTGTCCCAGATCACGGGCATGCGCCACCTCTCGTGAGGCTCGATAACTCACCTGCCCACCTCTCACCTTGTCACCCGGCCGTCATCACAATCCGGGCGCCTGGTGTTTTGACGGCCGCACCCGTCACTTTTGCTCCATTCTCACCTTGACTACCAAGCCGCTCGCCGCCCTCGCCGGCGACATCCCCGTTTTGTCGGCTCCCAAGAGCCTAGTCTTCGGGCAGTAGCTGAGCGCGGCGAACCGCTCGGTGAATCGCCTAGTGCCATGGCCCAAAAGCCACAGGGCTCGGGTGCCTCTGATGGCCAGGCCGCATCGGCCAGAGGCACTGCAGACGCTGCACCATCCAGCAAGCAATCAAATTCGGCTCACTCATCGGTTTTGCCCAGGATGTCTGACCCAGGCCCCAGTCACGGTCACGCGTCTGAGCCGATGGTGAAGTCCAACTCGTCGTCGTCAAACCCGGCCTCATCCAAGGACGCAGCCGGCAGCACCGCGTCGCCCTATGGCACGCGGTCTAGGAACCGGAATGGAAGTTCTCGCCCCAATTACGCCGAGGACAAGGATATAGACATGGAAATCTTTGAACTCTACCCTGGGAGGGCCGACGACGATGCCAAGAAGCCACCACGCCCGGTCGCGTCCACGACGCCCAGCAACAACGGCATGCCTGCCACCAGCACCGCCGCCACCGCCCCGGCTGCTTCTGCTGCTGCCGCGGTGAATGATGCGCCGCCACGCGCGCCCGGCGGCTCCTCTAGGAAGCCTCTTCCCTCGGACAGCAAGCATTCGCAAAACGGCGCCAAGGACCAGTCATCAAATTCTCATCTGACGGCCTCTGCCGCCGCTGCTGCGGCCCCGGCACAATCGTCCTCCAAGAAGCGCAAGGCCGCATCCCAAGCTAGCCAGTCCTCCCACGCGGTGGCCGCCGACTCTCCTAGCACGGCGGTCGTGATCAAGAGATCGGGCAATGCCAGTAATGCGCCATCTAGCGCGGCCGCGAGCCAGGGCTACGCGACCACCAATTTGCTCACCTTCGAGGCCTGCGGCAACACGCCCAAGGATGGTAAGATGATTGCCGACGATGGCACGGAGCTAGCTGTGAACGGTAAGCAGCCATGATGATTTCCCCCGTCATATTTTCCCTCGTCTCTCTTTATTCCCATGTCATGCCGTGATTTCGGTTTCGGGTTCACTGTCATGTGTTTTTTTTCTTGTGGTTTTCATACTTTGTCAATTTCCCCTCTCTCACTGTCACTCTCCCTCGCGCCTCCCGTTCCCTGGTCACCGCCACCCTTGCAACGCTACCGACCCATAATTAGCCCCTGCTAACTAGCGTCAGACCATGTCTATTTGGTGTGCGAGCCCCCGGGTGAGCCGTACTATCTTGCACGGATCATGGAATTCCTTCACGTTAAGAACGATCCGAGCCAGCCCGTGGACGCGCTCCGCGTCAACTGGTATTATCGGCCGAAGGACATTGCGCGCAAGGCCAACGACACGCGGGCCGTCTTTGCGACGATGCACTCGGATGTCAGTCCGCTGACCTCGCTGCGTGGCAAATGTGTCATCAAGCACAAGGCCGAAATCGCAAAGCTGGAGGAGTATCGCAAAATCCCCGACTACTTCTGGTTCGAAAAGCTGTACGACCGGTACATCCAGAAGAACTACGAGGTCATCCCGACGTTCCAGATAATCAACGTGCCTGAGAAGGTCAAGAAGGTGCTCGATGACCGGTGGAAGTACATCCTGGTGGAGCAGGGCCGCGGGAAGGAGCTCACGAGCGCCGTAAAGCTGTGCAAGAGGTGTTCTGGCTACTGCGCTAGGTAAGTGGTGGCCCCAGCAAGCCAAATTCTGCCCCCGCCCCTCCCTGGTTGGGCCAAATCAAATCGCTAACGCTCGACCCACCAGTAACGATTCTGTCGACTGTGCCGTGTGTCAGAACACGTACCACATGAACTGTGTGCGACCCCCCCTGCTCAAGAAGCCGTCACGTGGCTTTGCTTGGTCGTGTGCTGCCTGCAGCCGCGCCCAGGAGCGCAAGCTCGAGGCTCGCAACACTCCCAATGTCGGCCTCGACTCCAACGCCGAGCCCGATGATGAGGAGCTCTACGACGAGGAGGAGGACGACCTGGCAGCTGCCGACACGGGCCGCACCAGCCCCGCGGACGGCCATAATGAGCCCCATGCTCCCGTCAGCGCCGAGCAGATGTACCATGCCAGCCTGTGGCCCTACCGCTACCTGGGAATTCACTGCAAGGTTGAGGACGTGCTTGACTATGACGACCGCATATACCCCCGCGCCTCGACTCGCATAGGCCCTCGCCACCAGGCCACCGTTCCCGACTGGCCAGGACGTCCTGTCGAGTATGTGAAGCCAACCGAGGTTGAAGTCAGGAAGTCTGGACGCAAGGATGGACGGTTGTCCAAGGAGGCACAGGCGGCTCTCGAGGCCGAGAAGATCGCAAAGTCAAAGCGCCCGAAATGGGTCCAGGACGAGCCCGCGGGATACGTGGCGAGAGGCGAGGACTATGAGAACGAGGATCCCCGAAACACGGCACAGCTTCTCTGGAAGCCACTGGAGGCGGAGGCCAGCGACCTTCCCGAGAATGCGATAGAGGTCTACATGAGTCGCGTGAGGGAGATGAACAAAACCACGCTGCGCCTCCCTCACGAGTCGACCAACCTCCTGGATGCCGCCCGAGACGTCCTTTATGCTCACGACTACGACTTCAAGGAGGCCCTCATCGAGCTGCCGCTCATGGACAAGGAGGCGTTCAGGGAGCCTGAGCTGAGCCCGGCCGAGGTGAAGAGGTTCGAGGAGGGTGTTGCCAAGTTCGGATCGGAGCTTCACAGCGTGAAGAAGCACGTCAAGACGGTTTCGCCCGGGGACATCGTGCGCTTCTACTACACGTGGAAGAAGTCCAAGCGTGGCAAGGACATCTGGGGCAACTACTCGGGCCGCAAGAGCAAAAAGGAGATCAAGGAGGCAAAGAAGACCGAGGCAGCGTCCCAGAGTAAGATGCAGGATGACGTTGCCGACGATCATGACGACTCGGCATTCGACGCCGAGAAGGCCCGCGACAAGAAACGCCAGTTCATCTGTAAGTTTTGTAACACGAAACAATCGAGACAGTGGCGGCGCGCGCCCAACGCCTCGGGAGCGCTCGTCTCGGAGAACGGAGGCAAAGGCGCGGGCAAAGACAAGGGCAACCAATACGTCATCGCGCTCTGCCGTCGCTGCGCCGAGCTCTGGCGCCGCTATGCGATCCAATGGGAAGATGTCGATCAGCTTGTCAGTAAGGTGGCACAGGCTGGCGGCCGGGCCTGGAAGAAGAAGATCGATGAGGAGGTTCTCAAGGAGATCGTGGCAGCCGAACAGAGGAGCAAGCACACATCCTACAACAGCGGCGCCGAGACGCCACCCACCAGCACTGCGGCTGCCTCGAAGCAATCGTCACCGGCCGCGCAGGAGCCTCCCAAGAAGAAGCTCAAGATCGTGGCGGCGGAGAAGGAGGTGGAGCAGACGGGCTCCGAGTCGGGCAGCATCCCTGGCGCCGTCGCGGCTCCGCACACCAAGAAGAAGGACAAGGGCGCAGACAAGGAGAAGGACAAGGCGGCGGACAAGGACAAGCTGGCGCCAGCGCCGCCCGTTCCCGATATGCCCAAGGCGCGGACCATGCCGTGCGCCGTGTGCCGGCAGGTCGAGCCGCTGGGCGATCAGCACCTGACGTGCAAGGAGTGCCGCGTGGCTGTGCACCGCAACTGCTACGGCGTCATCGACAACCGCAACCCCGGCAAGTGGGTGTGTGACATGTGCGCGAACGATAGGAGCCCGCACGTCTCCATTGTTAGTGCCCCCGGCATCTTCACCACCCTGCCCCCGCTTCGCCCCCCTGGCCCCTTGTCACTCCGCCCCCGGCCTTGGTAGCGCCACATGTGCTGACCTGTGTCCCGAACGCCGCCCAGCATTACAAATGCGTCTTGTGCCCCGTCGAGCACACCGAGCACGACTTTGTCGGACCGCCCAAGATCTCGCACAAGAAGCGTACCGAGAAGGACCGTGAGCGCGAGCGTGTCGAGCGCGAGAACGCCGTCAAGGCCGCCCAGTTCTACCAGAAGCGCCAGGAGGAGCTCAACCGGCCGGCCAACCCGCGTGAGCCCCTCAAGCGCACCGCCGACAACAACTGGGTGCACGTCACCTGCGCCGTGTGGACCCCTGAGGTCAAGTTTGGGAACGCCAAGGCCCTGGAGCCGAGCGAGGGCATCCCGTCGATTCCGCGGTCGCGCTACAACGAGGTGTGCAAGGCATGCAAGAACACGGGCGGCGCCTGCGTGTCGTGCTCGCAATGCCGCGCTCAGGTTCACGTCGAGTGTGCCCACCAGAGCGGCTTCCTGCTTGGCTTTGACATTAGCCCTATCAAGGGCTCCCGCCGCGATCAGCACAACATCGTCACCATCAACGGCGAGACCGGAGTCATGAGCGCCACCATCTGGTGCAAGGAGCATATCCCGCAGAAGACGATTGTGCATCAGATGTTCGACATGGTAGATGACACGGGCATGAACGCGCTGCAGCTCTACGTGCAAAACTCCAAGCGGGCCGATCTGACCCTCACAGGCTGCGCACGCAAGGCGAACCTGATTACCAATGCTGCTCGCATGTCGAACCCAACGCCTACTACCGCCAGCGCTGTCCTCAGCTCGAACAGGCGGGCATCGACGACGGCCATGGCGCCCCTCTCGGTGTCGACTCACACGCACAGCGTCGCCAATGGAGGTGGCGTGGCGCAAGACGCCGGGGGCTTGCTGACGCCGGGTGGCAAGGTCTGCATGACGTGCGGCGTGGACGTCAGCCCCAGGTGGTATCCGATCGACAAGGCACAGGAGCGTGAGCTTACCAACGGCCATCACGGTAATCTGGGCGAGGAGGCGCAGAAGTTTGTTGATCAGCGCACCTTCCAGTGCCACAAGTGCAAGAAGCTTGAGAAACAACCTGTGTCGCATGCGCAGGCCCAGATAAAGGCCGAGGCAGTCTCATCAGAGCAACTCTCGGCACGGAACAATGCCCACACGGCCATGGCCCCTATGGCTGCCGGGCCTATCGTCGCACCGGTCGCTCTCGAGCGTGGTCCCCCGCCCGGACCGCCGCCACCTCCGGGCCACTGCGAACCCGTCGATCCGCTTCCCAGGGCTACCCCGCCACTCACCAGCCCGCGCGCGCCAGGACTCGAGCAGACCCAGCCCAGGCTGGGCGCGTACGGCTGGCCAACGCCTCTGCAGCCTCCCCACCAGGTCGGTATAGTCCAGCCCCCTGGCTCCATGCAAGCTCATGCACCGGCCCCGGCCCCGCCGATGCAGACGCATCCTCTCCAGCCCCCGTCGATAGCGCCGCCGCCTCTGCCCCACGGCATGCCGGGCCGGGTGGCCCCGCCAGTGGGTCAGCCTCCGGGGCCCGGGCCTGTAGCGCCGCCGTCTGCTCATCACTACCAGCAGCCGCCGCCGGCCCCAGCGCCGTCGACTTACACGGACTGGCACCGCACGACGCATCGTCCGTCGTCGATCCAGCAGCCGGTGAACGGTGGACCCTCCCACCCGGGAATATCACAAGTCTCGGCCAGCCCGATCTCGTCGCTTATCCCGCCGACGCTTCGGCCGCCTCCCATATCGCACCCGCCGGCCGGCCCCCATGCTGGGCCCCTGATGAACGGCCACATGGCACAGCCTCATGCCATGGTCAACGGTATTCCCCAGTCTCGGCGTCTGAGCGGTCCGCCGCCGCCGCCGCCGCCTGCAGGCCCGGGACCGTACATGCAGTCGTACCACCACCCCACTCATCATACTCCCCACATGACCAACGGCATGGCGCCGCCTCGTATCGACCACGGGCATGCATTCTCGCAGATGCTCACCCCACATCGGGCTCCATACCCGTCCCACGGAAGCCCTCCGGTCTCGAGAGAGCCTCCGCCACCACCAACCGGCGCAAGCACCAACCCGTCGCTTCGGAATCTCCTGTCTTGAAAGGTTCACTTCAGATGTGTCGCATCGCCGGTTCGCCGATTCGCCGATTCGCCTGTTCGATGGGACGCTGATAGTGCGATGCCCGCCCTTATTATCTGCGACTGTTTCCAAGCATTGAGACGACCTGTCGCATTAGCTCCAGTCCGCTGAACCGTGTATAAATTTGTCATTTTCTTTCTTGCTTTCTTGTTTTCATATTCTTATCCCGTTTGCTTTAGACCCTGTTTTCGGCGTCAGTTGTTGTTTGGGGTACCCATAACACCAAGGGAACTCCCCTAGGTGTAGGTACTCCAAAACCGGAGGTATTAGAAGGGGCATTATCATGGCGGCAAAAGGAGTCAGGCTTTGATTTGGACCATGACGCGCTGCCTTTCGACGGGGCGTCATCTTCTCACGGGATCAAAACTCTGGATTGTTTCGGTATCTTTTTAAGCGATCGTTATAGATCCACTGGTTTGTCGGCCCCCTCCTGGCTCTATCCTCTGCTCTCCGCAGGAAGATGCCAGGCCACCCGGCCGAGGGAGTACGGTGATGGGTGGTTTGGAAGCGCGAAGATGCCTTCCAAGATAATAACTACCTAGGTAGCAAATTGATGTTTCTGAATGTACCTATGCTGTGCTCCGTTGTTCAAGGCCTCAGGTTCGGCTCTAGGCTCCGATGAACCGACCGACGAGGGACGATACGATGGTGAGCCGCGACCGGGAGGCGGGGCTAGATAGGCAATACCCGCCCCTCCACCCCTCTACTACTATTGTGTTTTAAATGCGAGGCTGCATGTGAATGCTCAGGATAGCAGGAGCTACGAGAGTACATCTCATGATTTCGCTTCATTCTACGAAAAGCTGTGAACCGCAAAAAGAACATCTCTCGACACCTAATTAAAGAGATAAGCCAATGGACGACGCCAAGTTCTACGCGATTGCCCTGGAGGAGGCCCGCGAAGGCTTTGACGAAGGAGGCATCCCAGTAAGACTAGATTCGCGCGCCCACAGCGCTACCTACCCATGGACCACACGTCTCTCTAACGCACTTCACCAGATCGGAGCGGCGCTTGTGTCGAGCAACGGGAGGCTGCTTGGGCGCGGCCGGAATCTTCGAGTGCAGCAAGGCTCCGCAATCCACCACGCAAGTGCCTCGACGTTGCCCCCCTCGTGTGTCGTCCGCGATGGTAAAGAATGAGGGCCCGGCACTGACTCCTCGTATCCTTCCGGCAGGGCGAGACGGCTGCCCTGGCGAACTCGGGCAGGCTGCCGGCATCGGCGTACAAGGGCAAGTGAGAAAGGGTGGGCTGGTGCTTGCTTTGTCTGGCCAATATTTTGGGCGCAGCTAGGTGCATGCTCTTATGGACGGGGGCCGCCCTTCTAACGAGATTCAATTACTCAAACACCACAGGCAGTACCATGTACACAACTCTTTCGCCATGTGATATGTGTAAGTTGCGCATTGAGTTTTCCCGCCCCGATCTGTGACAGGCACAACAAAGCCACCCATCGATCGGATCGAGGCTGCAGACTGACCACGACGGGCTGGAATTCACAACCGCAAAAAAAGGCACGGGAGCCTGCCTCTTGTACGGCATCGGCCGGGTGGTCATCGGCGAGAACAAGACGTTCCTCGGTGGAGAGGCCTACCTGAAGCAGCGGGGGGTCGAGGTGGTGGTCCTAGACGACGCGGAAAGCAGGGGCCTCATGGAGAGCTTCATCGAAAAGCACCCAGAGCTATGGTCAGTAAGATTGACGCACAGCGGCTCCGGCATGCACGACGCGGAGATGGTGAAAACTCAAACATTCTATCGCTGCACAGGAACGAGGACATTGGAGTCGAGAAGCGAGTCTACACAAAGGAGTGATGACCGCACGAGGTGGTCCCTATTGTGGTAGAAGGGGAGGAGATGGGGGTTGCCTCTGAGCCGCCCATTGTATAGTGTTTTTTGGTGCGTTTGCTTTCTGCTTCTTCTGTAATGCCTGGTAGTCTCGACAGCCAATGCAGGACCTTGGACAATACTGGTGGCAACCCGACAGATCCCAAGCCGCCTGCATACCACCCTGCCTGCCCAAGCCATGCCTGTCGGCGTGCCGCCAACACCGGCGATGCACCGAGGGAACCACTGGAGCCTGGAGCCCGAAGGTGGGGCCAGGGTTCAGGGAGGGGCGGCCAGCCAAAGCGTAGATCTGGGCGGGCAACGAGCGATGAACGGGCACGCTGTGGCGCACGCCAGCGAATGCTCTAGAAATGCAACCCTGCGGGGACCCTGGCCTAGGTAGTGCCATAACAGCACCAGCCACATCCAAGATATTCCATCGCATTCCACGGTTTCCCTTCGGAGGGGCTGATTTGACAGGGGTCCGAGCCGCTGAGCAGGCGGGATGCATGGCCTTTGGTGGGTTGGGGCTTTGCCTTCCCAGTCCTCAAAATCTCATCAGCCTCCTGCACCGTACCCCCCAAGGCAGCGCAGACAGCCGAGCCAGCCCAAGCCAAAAATTTCAACGAGGAAATCCAGTTGATTTTCGGTGCCTTCTTCCCACGACTGCGAGTTCTCCCGGAGCACCCGCACCCAGAAATCGCCATCCGCAAAGACTGTCAGTCACGTTTGCCTGAACCACAACCGCGGCTTCGTGACACTCCCGCCCTCCGACCTACCCGTAGTGACAGAGCCCTGGTACGTACTACAAACACAATCTGCTTGCTTGCTGGTGTCGTTGTTGTCGAGCTCGGCACGCTCATTCACGCACGCCGTCACAATCGTGCTCACTGCACCTCCCCCATTCTTCCACCTGCCTCGCACTCTTTTTCTCTCCTGCCCTCCTACTTGTCGTGCCCATCTCCGCTGCGCCCGGTGAACCAGCCCAATCAAGGAAGCTCCAGCCCGCGACTCTGTCATTGCGGCCGCAGCCTCGGAGGCTGGGCGCCACCTTACTCGCCGAGAAAACCCTTTGCGCCTGTCCTCTGTCGGACGTCCGTTCTTTCGCCTTCGGTGTTCTTCCACCAAGTATATGCTTACGCTTTGAGCGCACGGCTTCTAGACTCTTCCCCCGGTTCTCGATTGGAGTTCTTCACCGACACCATCAAAGCCCGCCCTCCCGGCTCCTGAGCCAAGACCGTGAGACTTTCGCGACGACTGCCAAGCGACTCGTACACTCCTCGAGACGCAGCTCTCGCCTTTGAGGCGCACACTTCGAGCTCCCCTCACAAAGACCGCTTTTCCACCTTCCGAGGTATAATAAGTCAAGATGGTCAAGGAAACAAAACTTTACGATGTGCTGGGGGTATGTGTCCACGGAAATTCAGTGCATGCCGTCTCCAGGGGGAAGGAACAGTGTGTTAACAGCATTCATAGGTTGCCCCAACTGCCACAGAGCAGGAGTTGAAGAAGGCCTACAAGACAGGTGCCCTGAAGTACCACCCTGGTATGCTCACCGCCGCCCCTCATGTTATTGCCCACCACGATTTACCATCGCCCCCGTGAGCTTGAGCTGACCCCATGAACAGACAAGAACGCCCACAACCCGGCGGCTGAGGACAAGTTCAAGGAGATTTCGCATGCGTACGAGGTCCTGAGCGACGCGCAGAAGCGCTCGGTCTATGACCAATACGGAGAGGCCGGGCTTGAGGGTGGTGCCGGCGGCGGCGGCATGGCCGCCGAGGATCTGTTTGCGCAGTTCTTCGGCGGCGGCGGCGGCGGCTTCGGCGGCGGTCTTGGCGGCATGTTTGGCGGTGGCGGCGCGAGTCGCGGCCCGCCCAAAGCCCGCACCATCCACCACACGCACAAAGTCTCATTGGAGGACATCTACCGCGGCAAGATCTCCAAGTTGGCTCTGCAGCGCTCCATCATCTGCAATAAGTGCGAAGGCCGCGGTGGCAAGGAGGGCGCCGTGCGTCGCTGCCACGGCTGTGACGGCCACGGTGTGAAGCACATGATGCGCCAGATGGGCCCCATGATCCAGCGCTTCCAGACCGCCTGCCCCGACTGCAATGGCGAGGGTGAGATCATCAACCAGAAGGATCGGTGCAAGCAGTGCAACGGCAAGAAGACGGTGGTTGACCGCAAGGTTCTGCACGTCCATGTCGATCGTGGTGTTAAGAGCGGAACCCGCATCGATTTCAAGGGCGAGGGCGACCAGGCCCCTGGAATCCAGGCTGGCGACGTCGTTTTCGAGATCGAGCAGAAGCCCCACCCGCGCTTCGTCCGCAAAGAAGACGACCTGTTTTACAGCTGCGAGATTGAGCTCGTCACCGCACTTGCTGGTGGCACTATATATGTCGAGCATCTCGACGATAGATGGCTAAGCGTCGACGTGCTCCCTGGCGAGGCAATCCATCCTAGTGAGTTGGCCTTTTGGATACTGCCCCTGGTTTTTCTACCTCGCTACGCGGACTATCGGTGATATTTCTGCTGGGTGCCTATGCTGACACATTTTGTTCATGAATAGATGCCGTCAAGATGGTTCGTGGACAGGGAATGCCTTCGTTCCGCCATCACGACTTCGGGAATCTGTACATCCAGTTCACCGTCAAGTTTCCTGAGAAAAACTGGACGGACAAGGCCGAGGACTTCGAGGCGCTGCGCAAGATTCTGCCCTCGCCGGCAGTCCAGAACGTCCCACCGGCCGACGCCATGACTGAGCCCGCGGATCTGGAGGATAGCGATACCCAGGCGGGCGGCAGGGCCTTTGGCGGCGCCACGGCTGATGATGACGACGACGAGGAAGGCCACCAGCACGGCGAGAGAGTCCAGTGTGCTTCGCAGTAAACTGCCAATCACTTGTTCTAAGAACTCTCGAGCTGTATACACGAGCCCGATGATACCTAGGGAAGTCGCTTCCCTGCTTGCCGCATTCGCGGGAAACAGGAAGTGACGACAGCAAGTTGGCGTCACGACAGACGATGCGACTTGACACGCAAGGCCACGACACAGTAGTACAGCGTCCCGGCCTGTCAAGCTTGCAATGTCTATCAGGCATACCGACAAGCACCGCAGGGACCATGTCTGCGTTGGGCTTGTATGAATCACTGATCACGACTGGGGTGGGTAATTTTGGGTTGGACCGGGTTTGATTCCTAGCGACCTGTAAAACCCATGGGAGCGCCATAGCCGCGCACACTTTGGCATAAGTCCCGCTAAGGAGGCTTGTTTTCTTCTTTTTTCCACTTCGGTTTCTTCGGTCTCCTTCGTCGTCTCGTAAACTTTTTTTTTCTGTTCATCTGGCTGGCGGCGTTAAGAGGCATAGAGAGAGAAGACATTCGAGGCATCTGCTTCCTTTTACTAATCTTGCTGTTGCGTGAGACGCCATCACGGCAGAGGTTGGTGCACGCCTACGCTTCGCGTACTTAATCTCAGGGAACATGAACTTTTGCTGTTTATTGGTATTATTTGCTTCGATCTTCATGGATCTGCTTCTACATTCTCGTCCGAAGGAGCTTTACGGAGACTTTCGATGTTGTATAGAGCCGCCTCCAGCTCGTCCCGCGAGAGTTCCTCGTCTTCCTTTCCACTTATCACCGGGGTAGGGCTGGGTCGCAAACAAAGCCCCGAGGCGGTCCATTGGCCGCTATCACCACTTTGGACTACACAAAGGGGCTCGGCCGTAGCAGCGAGATCCCCAGCCGAGGCCGAAAGATGCAGCGTCGTGATGATGGCGGGTTGGGCATCGGGGCGCACGACCCTGAAGTCAAGCGGATTGCCACCAAGAGAAACGCTCTGTACATGACGGAGGACACCCTCGGAGGTGAGGTCGAATAAGAACAATGCGGGCACACTAACATGGACGTCATTAGTACAGATTCGCCAACGGCACCGAGCTTTGAGGGGGGTGGGGGTGAATATCCGCAACCTACCGTTCACACGCGACCACCACGACGCAGCGGTCATCCCCCTCCGAGCCCCCGATCGTGAAGTAGCGGACCTGCGAGACGGCCACGGCGGGCATCTCGGGGCAGACGCCCCTGACGTGGCCCAGCAGGTCCGCCCTCGAGAGCAGCGCGCCCCGCAGCCAGTCCCAGACTAAGAGGTCCGGGTCTCCGCCGCCGGAGACGAGGAGGCGCGGCCGGGCGGCCGGGACGCAGAGCGCGCTCACGAACTCCCCGTGGCCGAGGCAGAAGGCCTCGATGACGTGGGGCTGCGGGATCCCGCGCGAGACGCGAATGTGCTCGTCCCGGTCCGCCGTGACTATGTAGGGCCTCCCGTCGGCCGCGCGCGAGGCCAGCGCGACCGAGGTGAGCATGGACACGTGGCCGAGCAGCAGGCTGTGCTCAAAGGCAGGCGGGGCCGCGGCCGCGGCCGCGGCCGCCTCGTCCGCCTCCTTCTGCTGCTGCCTCTGCTGCTCCAGGTGCAGCTTCTGGCTGGCCAGGGCCCGGAGGTTCCTGGCCGAGTGGACCGTGGTCTCGTCCGCCTGCGGCTTGAACGGCGAGCGCGCGGCTGGGGCGGGGGTTGGGGTCCCCTGGCCCGGAGCCGTCGGGAATGCGGGGCAGCTGGTCTCCTTTTGGATGAGTGGAACTGAGTAGACGTCCCCGAACTTGTCTCCCGAGATGACTGTCTCGTTGTCTGCGGTTATGACGACCGAGGAGGGCCTCTTGGGCATTGCTCTATGGCATGGGTGAGCTTAGGTCTATCAGGATAGGGCTGGGGTGGGCTAGGCTGTGCTAGAGATATGGAGGCAGAAGGAGACCAAGCGAGTAGGATATGTGATGACAATGGACAGCGCAAGTCCACGCTCCACGGCCAGCTCGACCGCTGCAACTCACCGCTTGCTGAGCTCTTTCAGTGCACCGTTGCCGTCGTGCTCAAACGTCCACAGGGTCTTGTCACTTCCGGTGACAGCCACTAGGTGCCGGCCGTCCGACGTGGCCTCGAGCAGCGTGACCCAGGGACGGTCCGTCGGGCGCGAGGACGCTGCCACCTTGGCTCCCTTTTTCTTCTTCCCCTGTGCCGGGGCGCCTCCCTCGGGCGCCACCGACAGGTTCTCTGCTGCGGCCAAGCCAGGAGTATCAGCGGCGCCGGCACTGCCCTGGGTTTCGTCTAGGTCTGCACCTAGCTTCGCCCTCTTGGACGGGCGGTCCGGTTCCTCACCGTCGGCTGGCCCCGTCGGGGGCGTCTCGGACTGGGCCGGGCCGGCATCGGGCTTCGCAGCTGTGTCCGGCGCGGCCGAGGGGACGGAGTCCGAGCCAGTCCTCTGGCTGGCCAGAGCAGGGTGGCTCCATGTACCGAGATATGCTTGGCTTTTGAGGTTGAAGGCGTGGATGCTTGCTCCTTGGGCGCAGAAGACAACCTCGCCGCACACGTTGAGGCGCTGGTACGGGAGGGACGCCATTTTGGGTATGAAACCGGAACCAACGTCGCCTCACCACAACCCGTTGTTGCGAACAGGTCTACGGAGTCCTGAGAGTTTAATGGCGGCTAGAAACGACGGGAGTCGCGAGCCTGGATATGCGCCTCCTGTACAAATTTGATATCACATGACTCAACGCGTGGTTGATGGGCAAAGGGTCGTGGTCAAGCGGATCGTCCCCTGCTTGATGAGCTTGCGTTGAGGCTCGAGGGCCCCACCGAAGCACGGATCGAGAGAGCAACGCCCGACAGGTGGGGCTAGTCCAAAAGCAGACTAGCGTTTACAAACCCTACTGGGGCACACAGCAATCGGCAGCGCAAATTCTTCACGTCGTCGCAGCTGTCTGGATTTTCGAATTTTCTTCCCTTTGCAACTTCAAAAACAGCAAAAAAAGGAAAACGCCGGTTTCCTTGCTCTTCTCTTTCCACCATTACAAAGACCTCTTCGCCCTTAAACATCCTGCCTTCATAAAATAAGAAGATATGGGGGGCAAGACCGGTAACAAGGCTGGGTACTTCGACAAGCTCAAGGGCTTGCTCGAGGAGTACAAGTCCATCTTCATCGTCGGTGTCGACAATGTCAGCTCCCAGCAAATGCACGAGATTCGCCAGTCGCTCCGCGGCGAGGCTGTCGTGCTGATGGGCAAGAACACCATGGTATGTCCTGGGCGAGCCACACGGCGGGCAGCTTCTTCTTCCTCTGCCCGGCGCGGCCACCTATGCGATAAGACACTGACCTACCTCTTCCCAATCCGTAGGTTCGCCGTGCGCTGAAGACGTTCCTCACCGACTCGCCCGAGTACGAGCGCCTCCTGCCCTTCGTCAAGGGCAACGTCGGTTTCGTCTTCACCAACGACGACCTGAAGGTGATCCGTGACAAGATCCTGGCCAACCGTGTCAGGGCCCCCGCCCGTGCCGGCGCCGTCGCCCCCGACGATGTCTGGGTCCCCGCCGGAAACACGGGCATGGAGCCCGGCAAGACCTCGTTCTTCCAGGCCCTCGGTGTCCCCACCAAGATCGCCCGTGGTACCATTGAAATCACCACGGACCTGAAGCTCGTCGAAGCTGGTGCCAAGGTCGGCCCCTCGGAGGCCACCCTGCTCAACATGCTCAACATCTCGCCCTTCACCTACGGTCTTACCATCCAGCAGGTCTACGACGAGGGCAACGCCTTCCCCGCGAGCGTCCTCGACATCAGCGAGGACCAGCTCCTCAAGACCTTCTCGTCGGCCATCACCACCATTGCCGCCGTCTCGCTGGCCCTCAACTTCCCCACCCTGCCGTCCGTCATCCACTCCATGGTCAACGGCTACAAGAAGGTCATCGCCGTCGCCCTTGGCACCGAGTACAGCTGGCCTGCTGTTGACGAGCTCAAGGACCGCATCGCCAACCCCGACGCCTACGCCTCGGCCGCTCCCGCCGCCGGCGCTGGTGGCGGTGATGCCCCGGCCGCCGCCGAGGAGAAGAAGGAGGAGGAGGAGGAGGAGCAGTCCGATGAGGACATGGGCTTCGGTCTCTTCGACTAAACGGATCACCTTCTCGACGCTCTGAAGATATGACTGCCAAACGCCTGCAGTTTTTTTTGGCCACCATTGAGACTAGATTTGTGCGAGCTACTGCCTGCTTCGCAGCAATGAAATCTTGTCCTGGCTACCCCCGCTCCCCGTTGTTGTGAAGAGCAGTGAGGTGCTGTGTTTCTTGTGATTAGGACGCAACACGCGAGCCTTGTCCGCACATCTAGGTAAGCCACTCCGATTTCTCTTTGCCTTTCACATCAATCTCCCACATCCGCCGTTTCGGCCTTGTCGATGATTATAAAAAATCATAGAGCTTTTTAACCCTGAAACTCCTGATGACAACCCATCACCACCCTATGAGACAAGAGCACACACTTTTCTTTGGACTTTTACACTAGCCTTGTGGCAATGCCGTCTACTTTTGTAGAAACGAAGCTAACATTGTTCAAAGAGACAGATTCTACATGCACTGCCCGTATCGTGATGTTTTGCATTGTGCCACTATGTAAATCTGTTACTCCGTAAATGCCTAGATACTTGGGTATTCATATTGGGCAGTAGATTTTCATGGGTCTGCTGAGCTTGGTACCCAGGTAGGGTAAGGACCCAGGTATCTTACCTACCACTCAATTAGAGATAACAGCCAGCACATTGACGTAGCTTCATGTCACTGGGGCGTACGGTAAAGTCAGCGCAGGGAAAATGTGAATTTCATTATCAGATCGGACATAACATCATAAATCAAGCATCCTTGATCTTTACCGTAACCTGTGCGTCGTCAAGGATATCCTGAGCAACTTGGATGGCAGCTTCGGGAAGCCCAGCCAGGCGAGCGACCTTGAGCGCGTGACTGCAGCGATTGATGCCCTTTCGCAACCTGTGCACGAATACGAAGCCTCCGCTGGCGTCCTCGACGACGTCGGTGCAATACATCTCGACGGACCCGGCGGCGCTCCCACCACCACCACCACCACCACCACCACCGCCGCCGCCGCCGCCGCCGGCCGAGTCGCCTACGTGCATGCCCCTAGCGACGGCGAGGTCGGCTACGGCGTGGAAGTGGGTGGCGAACAGGGCGCGGCAGCGGTTCCGGCGGACGAGGTGGTCGACGCAGGCGAAGGAGACGGCGGTGCCGTCCTCGGGGGTGGTGCCGCGGCCGATCTCGTCCATGATGACGAAGCTGCGCGGGGTTGCGCAGCGCAGGATCTGGGCCGTCTCGAGCATCTCGACCATGAAGGTGCTCTGGTTCCGGAACAGGTCGTCTGCGGAGCCGACGCGGCTGTAGAGGCCGTCGACGACGCCCAGCTCGGCGTGGTCGGCCGGCACGAAGCAGCCGGCCTGGGCCAGGACCGTGATGAGCGCGTTCTGGCGCAAAAAGGTCGACTTGCCCGCCATGTTGGGCCCCGTCACCAGCCACAGGCGGCCGTGGCCGGGCGAGCCGACGAAGCAGTCGTTGCTGGTGAAGGAGCTCCCGCGCTCGGCCAGGCCGCTCTCGACCGTCGGGTGGCGCCCGTTGGCGATTGCGTGGGCCGTGCCGCTGTTGAGCAGCGGGCGGACGAGCCCCTTCTCGAGGGCCAGGCGCGCAAAGGCCGTGGCCACGTCGAGCTCGTCGAGCACGCCCGCGTTGCGCCGCAGGCCCACGAGCGCGCGCACCACGGCCGCGCGTAGGTCCTGGAACACGCGCTGCTCCTCGGCCCGGATGGCCATGCGTATCTGGTCCATGCGGCGGCCCAGGTCGGACCAGTGAGGATGGTGGAAGGAACGGGTGGTCCGGCTCGAGCTGAGCGCGCGAACGTCGTTGGCCAGCGAGCGCATGTCCTTTCCCTTGACGTGGCAGATGTGACCGAGCCCGGGCGTCCACTTGAGCGTCAGGCTAGGTGCCTTGAGCTCCTTCTGAAGGCTCTCGCCAAGACCCACCTTCTCCTCCTGCATGCCGTTCAGCTCCGAGTGAAGGCGGGATAGTGCCCGACTCGCGGCGGGCTTCATTATCCACGCCTCGCTGTCTGCAGCGTAGTAATCTCGCATTGATGTTGGCTTCTTCTTCCTGGCGGTGGCGGTGACGGTTTTGGGGAGAATCGCGGCGTCCTCCTCCGAGCCTCCCTCGCCCAAGATCCGCTGCGCCAGCGCCGTCATCTGCTCTGCCTCGTCCGCTTCCAACTGATGCCGCTGCATCAGGCCCTCTTCGTCTATCGCCCCCCGAATCCGCTTGGCCAGGGCCGCAGGCTTCTCGAGACTGATCCGGCTTGTCATGGCGACAAGACAATCATCCTCTTGTTCGGATCCCTGCCCCTGCCTACTGCTGGCAGCCCCGGCGTGAGCGTTTCCATCGTGTGCTTCTTTGAGCAGCGTAACGATATCCTGGGTGGCCTTGATCGTCTTTGCCAGGTCGAGCATGTCGTCCGGATCACCACGGCCAAGCGCAAACTTTTGCACAAGCCGCTGCGAGTCATGGCATCTCCGCAGGAGCAGCACTATGCCCTCACGCAGATCCTCTTCACGAATGAAGCGGGAGACGAGGTCCTGGCGGGCTTTAATGACTGGCAGGGAGGTGGAAGGGGCGCTCAACCACTCGTTGAGTAATCTGGCGCCGCTCGTGGTGACGGTGCGGCGGACGGCGTGTAGGAGACTGCCCTTGAAGGCACCGTCGCGGATGGTCTCCCTGATCTCGAGCGACCGCATGCTGTTCTTGTCGATGGCCATGACCTCCATGCTATCGTGCCGCACGGGCGGCTGCAGCTTCATGCTCGTGCCCCGAAGGCGGTCCTTGACATAGTAAAGCAGGAGGTTGCCAGCAGCCACCTCATCGTCACCGAGTGAGTCCCGCGTCACAGTGGGCAAGTCGGAATCCAGCATGTCTGCCCAGTCCGCTGTGGTCCATGCCTGCGGAGCATCACTGTATGTCACCAAGTGCCTCTCCTCGACGAGGACGGTGAACAGCCCAGGCGGGGCCTGGGCCTGCGCATCGCGATGCAGCACTATCTCTCTTGGACAGACTCGGGACAAGACAGAGCTCAAAGACGCAAGCGTAGTAGTCTGCGTCACGAAGTGGCCCGTGGACAGGTCAAGCCAGGCGAGGCCGAGGGTGGTGTCGGCCAGGCCCTCGGCTAGAGCGGACTTGGTAGACAGCATGGGGTTGTGGGCTGCTGCTGGTGCTTTTGCTGTCGATATGGCTTCGGTTGTGGCAACAGTACTATGGGTGGCGCCATGGTCGGGCAGATGGATAGACATGACGTAGTTATTGGAGTAGGGATCCATAAAGTTCTCGTCTATCAAAGTGCCCGGGGTGATGATACGGGCCACTCTCCTGTCGTGCATCAGTCCTCCAGACCTCACTTTACCAGAGGCATCGTTGGGGAACTCCTCCGCTATAGCCACATAGCGACTCAGGTCCTGCACCAGGATCTTGAGATAGCGGTCGAGATGGATGAACGGGAAGCCGGCCTAGGAGTGGGGAAGCAAAGCAAGCATCAGAACAAGTGGGCACATGAGGGGGGAACGAGACGGTATCATGTGTTTGTTTCTGTACCATTGGAACGACACCGGCGCCCGTTTTCTTGGAGGCCACTTTGATGTTCAGAAGCGGGCCGTACTCTTGCGCATGCTCAAAGTACAGCTCGTAGAAGCCGCCGACGCGGGTCAGCAACACACAGTTGTCGAACGTGTCCATGTTGCGGCGCGCCTGCAGGATCACGGTCGGGTAAGCCGGCCCGGTCTCCTCGACGGGAAGCGGCTCAGCCTCGATCAAGCCCTGGGGCAGATCTTCCAGCTTGACGACCGTCTTTGTTCTAGCACCCCTCGCCTGGCAGCTCCCCACAAAGCCGCCGGTCCCCCCATGGCTGGGCGTGCGCCGCGACCACGGTTGCCGGTGATGCTGCTGCTGGTGAGCATTGGCAGCTGCCCTAGCCGGTCCAAAGTGGCCGGTCCGGCGTGGGGGGTAGCTGCAGGAGCTATGGCAGCTGCAGGGACAGGGACAGACATGGACGACGTCGCCGCCGCCGCTTATGCTCTGGCTGCTGACAGCAGCTACATGTCGGGCGATATTTAGATATGCCGCGACAGGGTTGGGAGCAGCGGTTGTTGGCCGGGCTGCCGAAAGCAGCGGGGAAGAACGAACGATGCGAAAGTGTGAGCGCGCCACGGAACTGGATCGCGATGACAGCATCAAGCCAGGCCATGCACGCCCACGGATGGGCTGTTTTCCTACTTTGTCTCCCTGGGGGGCTTCTCTTTTCTTGTTTGCTGCGTGCTGGGTCAAACGCCGTGGTGCATCAGCCGTTATGATGTGCCTGAAATCCCCAGTTCCGGGAGTCGTCAGGCGATGGCTGCTATTCCTGGACAGGATGGACACTCCGCAGAGCCAGGTGCGGCGTGGGTGGTGGGAGTGGTGGGAGCGGTGGTGTGGCCAGGTCGAGGTCTGGCCCGACCACGAAAAAGCAACGCGATGGCTCGGCCAGATCTGGACGGCGGCCAAGCACGAAGAAACGGGATCGCTCCGATTGTTCGATGCTCAGGCCAATCATGCCGCTCCATGACCGCGAAATCGGCTAGAGGCTAGAAAGCGCGGGCCCGAAATTTCCGTCCACACTTTTCACTCTGGGAAGGCACCCTTGCCCTTGTTCCTCCCGCTGGATTGGGCCATGCACAGCACATTTTGGCATGATTGGCCAGTGCGAGCTTTGAGTGTGTGCGGAGGGAAGGGCATGTCGCACTGTGGATCTCCAAGCATCGGCGCTGACACGTCCAGCTCCATGCAAGTGTTTGCGTTTGCACCGCGGTGGGATTGAGACACAAGCACGATGCCCGGGAAAAAAAACCGGTCTGCAAATGTTTTTCCCCACCCAAACTCTACCTCTCCCAACACAATTGCACCAGCACCAAAACCGAACAATATGCCCGCGCACCACTCTACACCGAAAAGAATACGCGTTCAAGGGATTTGTGATTATCTTGATGCAAAAGGCACTACTTATAGCCACAATGATGTTTTTCGCTTTGCCGGATCATAGATGCAGAGGGCAAAATGACTGCATATTGAGTGGGCTACTTTTTGTGGTG